CCAATGTTCATTTAGAAAACAGCTTGAGACAATAATGACCACCTACCTTGATGGACAATTTTAATATGACGATTCAGAAGATATTGAAAGGGGAATGTTCGGCTACAGTGAGTGCAGGGTAATTTTGTACCTGGAGAAAGAGAATAAAAATTGAATTAAACTCGAATATAATTTGAATGAAAATACTGTAAGGAGTAAGTAGGAACTTTTATATTTCAAGGAACCACCTTACGCGTCACCTTCTTCAGCAGACAATTTATCCAGTCTAACGTTAAAGACGAGATACTGCTTTTGGCCACCTCAGTGTGTATTTATCAATTTACTTGTTCCTGTTCAGAAAACTATATCGGTCGTACGCAATGTCAATTCCTCAAACGTATTCTGGAACAATGTTTAGCTTGGATAGCCAGAGAAGAAAAGGAGAATACTAGCAGCTCCATTCTCGAACACCTGTCAACTCTCGACATGAAGCACTCCCGCACGAATACTTGTGCACAGTGCTACACAAAACCCCTCAATATCGTACGAAAGGACTTTGAATACACCGTCTGTACATAGCTATTCGGGTTCTGAAACCAGACTTCTGCATTCAAAAGCACTGCATACATCCCCTCATCACCCTACCATGGCCAGAGTAACGTTATCACTATAATTTTGCTTCCTTTTATTATGTAAGTTTATTATTATTATTACTCTCATCATCCTTATTTTATTATCACTCTATTACTGTTTATTAATAAATAACTTTGCGTTTTCATACAGATTTTATGTAAAAACACTTTATCGTCTTTCCACTAGTTCGTGTCCATTCTACACAATTATATAGTGACTAGTCCTTTTCTCACACTTATTACGTCATCCCAACTGCTACCCCTCTTCTAATTTCCAATTAGTCACCCCGTCTAGACTACACCTTATATTGAGTAACACATTTTCGAGGACAAATTTAATCGGAATCTGATTGGCCTAACGAACTCGTTATTAAATATAATTAGGACTGTACAGCTTTTGAAAATGAATCGTTGAAAAGGAAATTTTCTCCACTGTTTGCATCCTTATCTTCAAAACATCAGACAAACTGACAAGCAACCTTGTCCATATAAAAGACCAAATCCCTAAAGATTCTCTTTCTAATTGTGTCTACAAAATAAAATGCTTGCTTGGAATGTGATGCGATATACATCGAGCAAACATCGTGAGAAATCAAAATTAGGAGAAATGAACACTGGGACAATCTGAAAGCAGTTTGGAGTCAAAGCTGCATGGAAGTTCTAGGCAGAAAGAAGAGATAGGACAAACAGTGGCTCACTACGGACACTTGGAGACTAATAGAAGAGAGAAAGATGGTGAAACAAAAGATTATCCAGTGCATCGACGAGCAACAAAACAAGAATTGAATGCAAGCTACAACACACTGAACAAAGCAGTAAAGAAGAGTGCCAGGGAACACAAAAGAAAATATTATGAAGCCATGATAAGTGAAGCAGAACAAACAAGCTGCAGGCAAAGGAGACCTCTCAACACTCTACCAAACAGCTAGGTTCCTATCGGGGAAAAGATCAAAACAAATTAAGCCAGTAAGGAATGACAAGGGTAAGTAAATCACCAAAGAGGTGGAGCGAAGGATACGCTGGACTGAGCACTTCAAAAAACTTCTAAATCGACCGCTACCTACAACACACCCAACAATACCAACAACGGAAGCAGAACTACTAGTGGACATAAACCATCCTACAAGAACAGAAATCCTGAAGGCAATCAAAATGCTAAAAGCTGGAAAAGCAGCAGGACCAGATGGAATCTCAGCAGAAGCATTGAAAATGGACCCAGAGACAACGGAAAACTTGATGACGCCACTACTGGAGAAGGTGTGGAAAGGGGGCAAGGTACCCGAGAATTGGAAGAAAGGATACTTATTCAAACTGTCAACGAAAGGAGACTTAAGTCAATGCAAGAACTAGCGCGGAATTATGCTCCTGTCCATCCCAAGCAAAATACTAAGCCGCATCATCCTGGAGAGAATCAAACAAGCCCTGGATGAAAAACTTCGGCCCGGACAGGCCGGATTCAGCGTTCTGTCTCCCGTGTTAGGTGGCATAATAGGGTAAGTAATATTGAAGTAAGGCTTCGGTCAAGTGCTAGGTAAGAAGGGGAAATCAGTCTACGAGGCTGTGAAGTTACACCGACTGAGATGGTTAGGACATGTGTTACGCATGCCTAGTCATTGCTTTCCTCGATGGACAATGTTAGCCGACATAGGATGGATCAGGTTGGAAAAGAGCTAGTGGTGGTCAAACCAAAACATGGCTTCATAAGTCAATCAAATCCATAACAGTTGGTTTAGGCCAGTCAGCCAGCCAAACACGTTGGGAGGTGTAGACAGGCTGACTGGTTGAGTTCCTCGGGATGGTTACAATTAATGGCGGTGGAAACGACTAGTAATATGGCTCAAAATCCTTCTCGATGATGGCGCAGATGCATTCACTCTTTGTGATTTGTCAGCGATATCCAGTAAAACTCTATTTTTCTTCAATATTACTATTCTTTTTCCCTAACTCACACACACTCTTGTCTCTTGTCTTGCTTTGTGTGCTACATGGGGCGTGGTAACCTGACCTGCGGCACATCTGTTCAAAGTTCTACGTTGAAACTGGTCAGTTAGTCAGTCACTACTCAGCTGTCGAGGCTGAAGTAAGTGTAGTGGGACTCGAACCTGAGACGCATTTAGCGGAAGTCGAATGTCTAAACCGAGTCACATCTACACCGCTGAAGCAGAACTATGACACACTTCCACCGGTACCTATGCATGTACTTAGATGCATGAATTTCTAACCATGTCGAATAGTTTACCAAAAGTCGTTAAGCTGATAATCCTGTCTATCATCCTGAATTACTTTACTGTATGATGATTTGAAATATTCTGGTACCGGTAAAGATTGTTCGACTGCATATTTTAAGGACTTTTGTTTGTCCATCCCTTGAGTTACAATTGGAATATCAGGCTTTAAGTCTTTGAAGATTCATTAGCAGTAGTGTTTGCTCGACTCACAAGAAACTTTCCTCTTTTTTCTGGGCTTAATAAGCCCGGTTGGTACATTCAGCGAGGTTTTGGGAGTGTATCGGCTTTGAATACAACCCGGACCTTCCGCGCAACTGATGAGCATTCTCCCAATCACACTGCTTCACACTAAGAAAGCGACAACACGATATGCGTCAGTGGCATAGCGGTTAGGACGCTCACCTGCCATGCACATGGTCCGGGGTTCGATCACCCGCCGACGCACACCTGATACCTATGGTCGGCCTGCAAAATTTGGGCTGCCGATATCACATGCTGAAAATTCCATACTTCTAGCAAAAAGTACTGTGTGGAATCAAGCTGTAATCAATATATATATATATATATATATATATATATATATATATATATATATATATATATATATATATATACATATATATATGAGACCATTTTAACTAAATCTGAACGAATCATTCTACTTACATTGATGTACAAAGTATTTGTGCATTGTTAAATAGGACTTCTTTGAAAAGACATTACCACATTGTGAACAAGGGTAAGTAATGCCTCCTCTTTCTTCTTAAGGCGACTGCATACGTCTCCTTGAACATCACATTCAGAGAGTTAGTTCTAATGTTCTTCCCAGCAGGTTTTCTCAATTATGCCACGTAGTGTCACCGACTTTCCTCTGATCTGTATCGGAAGTATCCCTTGTATTTTTGCTCTTCGCTTTCTGATTGTTGAACTTGAATTACAGTGACCTGTCTCTAGTTTTTCTGAAGGATTTCAGCCTCACCTTGAAGGTCCCTTGAACTAGGTGATTGTCTGAGCCCTTCTTGACTTTGTGTCCGGCAGATTGCCTGAGTCCCCAATCCCTTGAGCAGCAATGAGGTGAAATCTATCTGCTTTTCGCTTTGCCCGTCAGGCGAAATCCATATAGCTTTGTGTATATCCTTGTGCTGGTACACACTGCCTCCGATCACCAGATCATTGACAGCGTAGAAGTCTACGAAGAGTTCTCGACCCGTGGTGTGTTCTCTTTCTGTATTACCAGTTCCCACTTTAGCATTCATATAGCCCATAAAGATTTCGACGTCCCCATTCCGAATGTTGTCCATTACTATTTGCAGATGTATATACAAATTTTCCTTCCTCTCTTGTTCCGAGTTGTTTGTAGGTGCGTAGCATTGCATTATTGTAACCTTTCTTCCTTCCTTTTCAATTGGTTCTTGCTGTCATGACCTTGGATGAAATTGGTCCCCACTGCACTGCATTAAGGCTTTGGCCGCCAATGGTAAGATCATGATAGCCACTCACTGCCTCAGTATGCTCGTGGTTTTCATCGGGATGATCGAAATAGATTAATGACACCAATTGACAATTTCGACAGTCCACATTCATTCCATCTGCTGTTGCAGATTCCCAGCACTTCTCATTTCTTTGCCTACCTGCAGTCTTCCCAGCCTCATACATTGTACGAACATTCCATATACCGATGCTTATTTTTGCTTTCATAGAGAGAAGACACATCAGCTGCCTGACTGGCTTCCTGAAGGCTATCACCAGCCCGCTGCATCATTTCACCACTTGAATTCCAGCGCAAAATAGGTCTGTTGTATTTGTTTTTTGCATTTTTAAAATTTTCATTGTGTATTGAAGTTTCTGTAGCAGTTTGATTGGTTTTGTGGTGTAGGGTGACTAGTCCCACGCCCAACCCAACTTCTGCCGATTCGTGGCATATATGTATGTGTATTTATAGCGCAACCAACAGGCATTGTCACCACCTGACTTGGTGGACCCCACTGGTTACAGCTTCTCACTAGAACCCTAGGTAATTTCATTTTTAAGGCCAGATGTTAGTGAGTGACAGATTCATCATCAAGTGTTGGTTTGCAGGGATTTGATTGGTTACAGAATTACTGAAATACATCTTTAAAAGAAATAAACATTTATAGAAACACAAATAATCCATACTTACCTAAATGTACAACTTCATTATGCGATTTGAGCGCATCATTTGTCAAGAAACACTGACTACATTGTTCACATTTAAACCGGCTAACTGTTCAGAATAAATATCACGAAAACACATATACAAAAAGCACTAATATATATATATATATATATATATATATATATATATATTCAAAACAGAAAAGCCAGATCCCTGTGTACACAAAACGTTCGTTCAACCCCTCCAACTTTCTTGGTATTAATCCCTATATGGTTAAGTATGGTAATCCCCAATCATATTTTAACTCTACCAATGTTTTCGTTCCGTCTATTCATCATTTTATATACTCTTCCTTTATTACGTTAATCGCTACTATTATTATTCTCACTTCGAATCGTCCCCTATATTATTTCACTTGTTACACTTGTCATTGTAAATCAGTTCTCTTTTTTACAACCTTAAATTCTACGTTATCAAATAATTTCACACAATATTACGTAACGCTTTTATTTCATTCGATTTGCCTACTCGTCCTATAAGTGCACACCCCTTCCAAGTTCTATCCATCCTATGAATTATTCTGTATACAACATTAATTATTTTGCTACTTGACATTTAACTATGATTATAATCACAAATATTTTAATTGCATGCATTTAATACTGCTATTATTATTTTATGCATTCACACCTATTATTCAATTCCCTCACTGGATACAATTTCTTAAAAACTACATATATATTTACGATTGTACAGCTTGATAATAAACTGGTTGAAAAGAGTCTCTTCGCTGAATAATCACTTGTTTTGATTTCAAGTATTCACACCTTTTTTATTTCAATTTTGACTCTCCCACTGGTCGATTGAACTAAAATGTTTTGCTTCTGTTGACACATCGGTTCCTAGTGCGGACGCCTTAATCATGTCTGCGGATTAACTTGAAGCAATTTTGCTGAACGGGAAGATCAAAACTGAATTTTTAAAAATAATAACTGACACCCATGGCACAAGAGGTGATGGCTCTTATGGCGCTAGTGGTCTATCTGGATATAACGCGTTGGAATTTGAAACGATGAGTACTGGGGAATGCAGATATATCCAAACAGAATGAAATGCACATCCTAGATTTCACTGCCAGTCTTTTCGTTGAATAGTCCGTTCTTAATGTTACAATGAGAAATATCAAAATTATTAATGAAATTCTTATTAAAAATTATCATTTATCTCACCTCCATGAATGATTGCTTGATGAATTTCCAATTCATACTTCTCTGCAAATGTTTTACAACACTGTGGACATGTATAGTCCACATCTAAAGTAGTAGTCGTAGTGGGCAAAAATGAATACACACATTGACTTTAAGCCACAAATATAAAAATACAGTCGGAAAAACAAACAGTGTTAAGCTTTAATCTCATCCTATCCATTATTCATTCATAAGGAGTATCTGAAAATCTATGGAAAACTATGTTCCCCATTCAAGATTCTACCTCATGTCACATGATTTACTCATCATAAACTGTTATTCAGATAACAGTTGACACCCTAAGGTACTACACTCAACATTCTGGTATTGTTCTGTTTTCTGTACTCCAAAGCTTTCAATATCCATCTGGACAACATCCTCAGAGATGACTATAATGTGAGATTGGGAATTCTCAGTAATTACTGCTTACAACTTTTGATTCAAATGTCAGCCAGACAGTTTATCAAAAGTTATGAAGTACATCTAAAATCTCAGTAAATCATTAAACGCACTATCCAATAGCTTCATTTTGTATCAACCATTGGTCTGATTCACTGCTTTAGGTGTTTCACATCTAAGTACTGGGTCACAGGCTCGAGCCCCATTTAGCTTACCAAAGGGTTGGTGACTAGGTAACCCTATCAAAGTGGGTATGGGTTACTGTCAAGTGAAAAGCAAATGGTTACTGAGTAACCTTCTTTTCATGTTGTCTGGAATTCCACAACCTACAACAGCCCTCTCCTTCAAACATTATCAAAGATCACATACCATTTAGGCGCATTGGTCATAGTGACTATTATCAACGACCCCATCCCTCATCAATTCAATAGTGCATGCAGAAGATAAGCGGATTTAGCATGTTTAAGCACCCCTACATATGAACATCCCAGTGCCAAATTAATTTCTACACTCACTTTAATGAAGTCCTCAACCTAGACGTTCTGCTTTTTAACACTCGTCAACAAGGTGTATCTGCAACCTCGAAGGACCTGTTGTCCCATACAACCTCTGACATTCGAGCCCTGATCAGCGATTATCGTAGTGACAGAACTGACTGAAGACTAACCGGTTTCAACGTGGAGCTTTGCACAGAACTACACCAATTCGACTTGCTACAATCCATGAAGCATACAAATGAACACAAAAGAGAAAAAATGAAATTCGGTCGAACCATAACAAGCAGAAATGTCAGGAGGGAAGAATAGTAAAATTGAAAAACAACAGGGCAGATAGTAAAGTGTAAATGCATCTGTGGCACTGACAATCAATTTTCTCCAACCATTGGTTTTTAGCATCCCGAGGACCCCAACCAGCCAGTCAAGCAGTCTGCTCCTCCCGACTATTAGAGATTTCATAGACTGATGCCATATTTTCGTGTGACCACCACTAGTTCTTTTCTAACCCTAATCCTATGTCAGCTAACATTGCCCGTCGAGGAAGGCGAAGGCTACGCTAGGCATGCATAACAAATGTCCTAGCCATCTCAATCGATGTAGATTCACAATCTCATCGATTGATCCTCCCCTTCTTATCTAACACTCGACGCCTAACCTCATTAACATTCACCCTATTAGACCACCTAATATATGAGAGATAGAACAGAGACACCTATGATCAGATACAGCTATGTGCACTACAATATCGTCATTCGTTAATTTAATGAAATAAAACCCACAATTAATCTTAAATACAGTTGAAACTTACCTTTGTGTACGCGTTGGATGTGTATTTTTAAAAATGTTCTGGAAGTATAACAACTGTGACATTTAGTGCACTGGAAGACTTTGGATTCTGTTAAAAAAAGCAGAAAACAAAATAAAGAATTACGATTTGTGAATAAGTAAGTGAAGTTACCTTAAGAACAACATCTCTCAAACATTCTTCTACTTCTTTTCAATTTAATTTAAACTTATGCTTCTTAAAGGAATAACAATAATTAGATAAGCTGTATCACTTGTAAACGACTACTAAAATTACTGATAGAAAATGTTTGGAGGGCTATTTTGTACTGCAGTGTGCATAATAATATATGCATAGTAGTAGGCGATGGAGATTCCTGGCCAACAACAACAACAGACAATAATCAGCATAAATGGAACCACATCCTTTAACTACCTACCTGCGAAGCATCGTTTCAACTACGGGCGGATGGAACTGATGAGGACATCAAAGCAAGGATCAGAAAAGCAAGAAAAGCTTTCATTACGCTCAAGTCTGTGTGCAGGTCAACAGCACTCAGCATCAAAAATAAGATCCCGATTTTCAAATCCAATGTGAAGTCAGTGCTACTTACTATACGGATCAGACACTTGGCCAGCGCATCATAATCAGCACCTCAAACAAACTACAGACCTTCATCAACAGCTATCTTCGCTCAATACTCAAGATCAGATAGCCGGCCAGAAAAGATCAGCAACACGGAGATCTCTGGGAGCGAACTAACCAGGAACCGATTGTGCAACAAATAAGCAGGAAGATATGAAGGTGGATTGGTCATACTCTGAGGAGACCATCAAGTGACATCACTAGACAAGCCATTGCTCGAGTGGAACCCGAAAGAGAAGTGGCGAGTTGGTCGTCCAAGGGTGACTTGAAGGAGGACATATGAATATGAGATGATAAAACCTTCCAACCAATCGAACACAATCCCTACAAAACCAATACTTGAAAACATGCCTAGTAGTTAAAAGTGACTGAATGTTATTACTATTACGTTTGTTTTTGTTATACACATGTCTATTGGGATTACTGCTGTAGGAACGAGGAAGATGTCTAGCTCTCCTCTATAGTTTTCAATCACTGTACAGCTGACATCGATTCATGACAAAATCCGCATCGAAAGTAATCAGAATCCCTGCAAACATCGAAGTCGGAATATGAAAATGTTTTCAAAATTTCAGCTTACTTATACTCATATGTAACTGAAAAGTCTAATAATATGCCGAATACCATAAGCCGTACACCTTAATTGTTATATTCGGTGAAGAAACAGTAGTCTATTCTGTCTGATTCTGTCTCTCCACAATAGCCTTCCGCGCCATCAGGAAACCAGACTGAATACAAAAACACCAAAACCACTAAGGCAATCCAATCAGTTATGTTAGACATTGTTTTGTTTCTCTTCAGAAGCTAAAACAGCATGAGGATCGTTTCTAAGTAAATCTATCCTCTGAAGCTCATAAGACTTCAAGATTTCTAGTTCTTATTTATAATTAGGCCTGAAGATAGCTGGGAGCAACTGACTACAACTTCGAAATCTGCTTTATCCTAAACACTATAGCCTCCACATACTGACTGACTGGTTTCAACGTAGAACTTAGTGTCTGTCAGTGTAGCCTATTGGGTCATTGATATATGCAAGCCCGACCACCACGTCAAGGTAGCAGCCATCGGTCGGCATAGTTTTCAGAAAAATTCGCTGGATCATTCCACACAGCCTTACAGTTATAATATTTACATCTTAGAACTTTAATTGTATATACAGCTTCAGTGGAGTCTTATAAAAAGATATCATTGTAACACCATTACTTCCAGTCATTTTATTAGTGTTCCCCCTTTCACAGGCTGAAAGACATTCTTGGATTAACATTCAACTCAGGTATTTAAATTTGGCGTGAAACGGAATTGCATTTCACTCAGATTACAGCACAGATAAGATTCATTGACTTTATAATTAAAATTAAGGGTAATAACTGTGAGTAAATTATTAAAAAAAATGAACCACGGGACAGGAACGCGGTAGAAAAAAAAGACGATATGTTAATACAGGTGCGTCGGTAGCACAGCGGTAGGATGCTCGCCAACCACACCTCACGTGGTTCGGGTTTCAGTCCCCGTCTGATGCACTGCTTTACCTTGATAAGCCAGTAATAGTGTGGTGAGAGCAGGCCGTGGGAAAATATGTACAAGGCTGATTCTACAACCAATCACAGCAGACTTAACGTGGCAAAATATGACTCGCAGATAGAGAACTCTATTTATCAAGGAATTCCGAAACAGCCAATCAGAAGCCTGCGTTTGTCTGCTTACAATAATCTGTAATCTGTAATAATGTACATGAAAATATATAAATACGTGTAGATTTTCATAATAAAACGATCTGTTGCCTGACCCTTGTCTTCTGTTGTTACAATAGGACTGGTAAAGAGGGAAGGTTGGGCATGAGGCTAGCAACCCCACCCGTAGAAATAAATACCACTGCCACTGAAATTTCATGTCTCCAGCTTGAAATCCTATGCCCCTCTGGCAATGTAAAGAAATAAGAAAAACATGAAAAAAATTGACGGTTCCAAGTTCAATCTGCAATGCCATCATCAATGAGAAATGCTCTTAATTCCCAAACAAAGACGAAGGAACTGTCTAGTGCCATCTATTTGTCAACAGCTCTCCATTACCTATCAATTTGTAGCAAAACTTATCATTTTGAAAATCCCTCTGATTACAATTAAAGTTTAACAGAATGTCTCAATGTACTCACCTTTAGGCGGATTTCGTTTCTTAACCACAACAACACCAACATCATTACTACAGGTATTGTTGTTATTAATATTGTCGTTGTTGTTGATGATACCACATTCACTAATCTGTTCAGGATTGCCTTCAACTAGAAAATAATAGGAACAGGATTTATTTTTTTTAATATAACGGATATAAGTACATTATCATATTGTAACGGTATAAGGCGAGAGACTTGGTCAGGGGCAAGTTTATTTGGAATTCTGCATCACTATATAGCGAAATTATGTACACCTTATCTTCAATCCACCATTTTCACAAATCTTCTGTGTTGTGCAACTTCTGGCCACCTTTCATAATGTCTTTCTTTGTCTTCCTCCCACATCTCCGATGTTTCTCCACAACGCTGAATCCTTTGTCTTCTCTGACCTTAAATCTATCCTCCTCCGCCTCCTATTTCATGTTTTATGCACACGAACGTCTTTACACACTACTGGGATATCTAATCAGTGCCACACGCTACAATATGGATTTAATGAGTGGATGCACAACATGGAGTTTTGCATAAAACTCACCTGATTAAAGTTCCCATCACAGCCGCTAGTAATTCCGAAAAAGAACAAAGGTTGGGGTGAACCTGACAATCCTTACTCTGGACAGTTGTTTCATCCTAGTTTGGGAATCATTGTCAGTACACACCCACCGCCAAGCTTCGAAACCAGAACCTTCCGGTTACAAGGAAAGCTGGTCCGTAAACCATTCAGCCACTGGGACCCGATTTAATGGCCCATGAATTCTAACTTCTACCAATTCATGAGCCATTGATTTGGGTCCCAGTGGCTGAATGGTATATGAGCCAGCTTTCCTAGTAACCGGAAGGCCCTGTGTTCAAACCCTGTCGGTGAGTGCATAGTGACTGAGATGGTTCGGGTATGTGTTACGTATGTCTACCCATCGTCTTCCTCGACGGGCTGTTAGCTGACATAGGGTCAGGCTGGAAAAATAAGCTATCGTTGGCGTGGGTCGGTAGGAGATTGTCGCTCCTTCTGGAACACGTGTGTAGATACCGACCATGCACTGGTCCGCGCTCGGGTGTGCTTACGACTGAACGGACGTAGGAAACAGCTGGCGGTAAAACCATCACGTCCCCAGCTCGATCAGGAAACTAAATCCGTATTTGAGGAAGAACTAGCTAAACACATATCTGTGTTCGACAGCTGTGCTCACCCTGAAGAAGCTTGGAAAAATATCCAGGCAGCCATAGATACAGCTGTAAAAGCTGTGAATAAGGTAAACCCAAAGGTGAGTAAAAACCACTGGATCTCCACCGCCTCATCCGAACTGATAGATGCTAGAAGACTTATTCCGGCGAGCTCCGAATTCAATGAGGAGCGAAAGCTGCACAAAAGGAAACTTACGAAAAGTCTCCGCAAGGACCGTGAACAGTGGTGGGTGACAAAAGCCAAAGAGATGGAGAAAGCTTCGAGGATAGGCAACACCAGGCAACTATTTAGACTCATCAGGGAAACGGGTGGGAGAAGACAAATCATTAGTGAAACAATCTCGGAAAAAAATGGCACTATAATTAGCTCCCAGGATAGACGACTGGATCGTTGGAAAGAGCATTATGAGGAGCAGTTTAATTGGCCCACAGCCACGCTCAACCTTCCGAGCATCCAACACCTCCCTGAATGGGATATAGACACAGGTCCTCCGTCACTAACTGAGGTTACTAAAGCTGTCACCAATCTGAAACTAGGCAAAGCAGCGGGACCTGATGGAATGACTCCAGAGGTATTTAAGTACGGTGGAGACAGCTTACTGTCTGCATTAACTGAGGTACTAGGCAGCGTCTGGGAATCAGAAGAAGTCCCATCGGGTTGGTGTAAGTCACTGATTATCCCCATATACAAGAAGGGAGACAAGTCTTCCTGTGATAATCACAGAGGGATTAGCTTGACTAATATAGTATCTAAAGTCTTAGGCTCAATAATCATGCGTAGACTGAGTGGTGCTCGGGAGGCACAAACACGAGAGAGCCAGGCAGGCTTTAGACCAGGAAGAGGGTGTATTGATCATATCTTCACCCTCCGACAGATTCTAGAACATAGGCATTCCTACCGGCGTCCAACAGTCATTATATTTCTTGACCTAAAGGCAGCATTCGACTCTGTCGATCGAGAAGTTCTCTGGAGATGCTTGGCTGTAAAGGGAATTCCGAGAAAATATATTGCACTGATTAAGGCACTCTACTCGTACTCATACAGCCAGGTGAGGGCTTACGGCGAGCTGTCATCTGAACTGATGACGACCAGTGGTGTCCGTCAAGGATGCCCATTATCTCCTTTTCTATTCAACTTCATCATAGATGTGTTAATGGACTTAACCCTAGGTGACTTCAGCGACTCAGGGATTGACTTGCTACCGGGGAATAATCTCGTTGACTTGGAATATGCAGACGATATAGTCCTTCTAGGCGAAGACGCTGACGAAATGCAGAGTCTTCTAAACACCTTGAGCCGCAATCTACGAATGTTTGGCATGCGATTCGCTCCCGCCAAATGCAAGATGATGTTACAGGACTGGACTACATCGACGCCTAGTTTAAAAATAGGAAGTGAAGTGGTAGAGCACGTTGACCGCTTCACTTATTTGGGAAGTACCATCAGCCAGCCCAACGGGTTGATCTCTGACGAAATCTCAGCACGAATACAGGGGGCTCGTTTCGCATTTGCCAGTTTACGCCGACTCTGGCGTAGACGAGATGTTCGACTATCGACCAAAGGGCTCATCAGTCCGCTCCGTCCTCCTTTATGGCTGTGAGACCTGGCCACTGAGAGTGGAAGACATGAAAAGACTAGCTGTCTTTGATCATAGGTGCCTGCGCTCTATTTCCCGTGTAAAGTGGCATAATAAGGTGAGCAACATGGAGGTTAGGCGTAGAGTTCTAGGTAAACAGGGGAAATCAATCGACGAAGTCGTGAAGTTACAAAGACTGAGATGGTTAGGACATGTGTTACGTATGCCAAGCCATCGCCTCCCTCGACGAGCAATGTTAGCGGATATAGGGTCAGGCTGGAAAAAAGCTAGCGGCGGTCAAACAAAAACTTGGCACCAGTCAATGAAATCCACAACAGTTGGTCTAAGCCACGTAGGAAGGTGTAGACTTCCTGACTGGGGTCCTCGGGACGGTAAAAATCTATGGTTGGAAACAATTGGTGACATGGCTCAAAATCTTTCTCAGTGGCGCAGATGCATCCACTCCTTGTGACTTATGATCTCCAATGAAACTGTTTTGTTCTTCGTTATTACTCCTTTTGTCTCACACCTCTGCTCACTGTATCTATTATGCATTTCTTCTACTTTCTTCTCTCGCTTTGTGTGTTACAAAGAGGGAATGTGGCGACTTGAACTGCCGCACAATGGTGCAAAGTTTTATGTGGAAAACAGACAGGCAGACGATGATTCCCAAACTAGGATGAAAGAGCTATCCAGTGCTCGCTGGTTTTTAATGGCTCTCTAGCTGATATTAATTCGTGATCAACTCGTAAAAATAAAAGTAATCCATACAAAACCAACTATAGAAAATCCTAACTCTTATTAAATGTCAATACATAAGGCTTTACGTCCCACTTGGAATGCGAGGAGCTAAACACACGAATTCATAATGCAAATACCTTTTCAGTTTAAGTGAATTAGCTACAAAATAACATGTAACACATAGCGAATAAAGCCAGTTATGTGTTGCAATCACGGAAAACAAGACAACCTGATTCATCAACAAAATATACACGTTAAAAAACATACAACATACTGCTAGTTAATTACACAACAGTAACCTTTCAAAAATCCCATACGGAATTGTTTTCCGAGAACAATTCTAACTATTTATATAACTTCTTATGTACCAATGAGTCAATAATGAGGTTAACAGTGAAGTGTTAGATAACGGGGTAAGATTAATCCATATTGTTGTCAAGCTCGACTGAAATGAGTACATGTGCTATGAACGTCAAAATACCGCTCTCGCTGAACAGTAATTTCAGTTGATATAAGACCACGTTACCAGAGAACTAGCGGTAGTCATACAACAACACTGCATCAACCCATTTCACTAACTGATGATCTGAGCCACGTAGAGAACTGTAACAGACGTCCCAAGGATGATAAAAATCTACAGCTGGAGACTGTTGATGAAATCACTCAGAGTCGTTCACAATGCCACAAACGTCTTTACTCCTCATCATCAACTCGGTCCTACATCCTTCCTCCTGCGTATCTTTCTCTACTATAGTTTCACCATATTTCTTTTCCCTACTTTAATTTGTGCTTTTAGGAAGTGTGGTGATTTAAAATAATGCAGTTTTGCACAAAGCTTGAAGTTAATGTTAGTCAGTCAACAGTAATCAGACGTTTTATCTTCATGTGTTGCCTTCCATCCCACCGTACTCAAAAATAACAGTATCATATTATACAATTAATAAATAGGAGATAACACCTCCTCCTTACCTTTACTATGATTTTCCATTTCCACATCCTCATCTCTCTTCACATCATATTTCTCTAATGACTTCGATATCACATCATCTGATTGTACTGGTTGTTCAACTTTAAGATGTATTTGAGAGCTAAGATCAATTGCAGATGTATCCATTATGCTACAATAATACGCCAATTTGATTTATAATAAGCTCGTTGAATAGCAGCTACGCGTTGCAGTTGTACATAAACAATATATCCCAGGAAACACAGAAATGTAGGATGTCTTCTTATTTTACTAAAACAGACGTAGAATATAACTAACATTCCCGAAAACTTGAGTTACACCATCACAGATAACACCTTCTAAATGATATTCTTACTTACATACTTTGGCTAAGCGAAGAGATGTAGGATGACTCCACCTTCATGACCTACTAACTCTTCCCACAAAAAAGCAGAAGTCAACATAAAAAATCACCAAACGAACTCGAAATGAAGCTTTGAACTGCATATGCGTATAGGATGACCATTCCTTGGGTCACCCGGATTTTAACGACTAACGAAAAAGGCATGCAAACTGCACACGGTTTAAAATATAAGAAGTCTGTAATTGAAACGCAGTTTGATAAGGCAAAATACGGATACGAGGGAATTCCCTCCACAGTG